GAGGGGGCGGGGGGAGGGCCTGGTTAGCATCCAAGAGAGCTCTCTGTGCCCACTGCCTGGCTCCAGCCCAGGCCTCCCAGAGAACTCCAAATCCTCTCCTGTCCGCCCACCTGAGAAGTTTTGAGAATGTGTTATCCTGCTGTGCATCTGCTGAAGTCTTTCCTTCCAGGCTCCAACCTTAGTATTTGCTACTGGGCAGTCTTTTTGTGTTTGAGAGATAACTGTACAATTGCTATTTCCCCCTTTCTTTTTAACAAAAGCCAACATTATTCAGGATAACAAAATGTCCAGAGGAAAGACTACATTTCCCAGCCTTCTGTGACTAAATGCCAAGCCACTAAGCAAGAGGCAGAAGTGGTTGAATAGGGCTGTCCCTTAAAAAAGGAGACAGGCAACTGTAGCATGTCCCTTTGTCCTTTTCTCTTTTCTAATGCCTTGAATGTGTGTGATGGCTGGAGCTTCAGCAGCCATGTGGGACTAGAAAGTGACCTTAGGGATAGAAACCACATCCCCTGGATGGCAGGAAGAGCCACGTCTTAGAGGTCACTGTGACTTTACCACAGTATCCCAGCACTGCCTAGCGCATGCTTCTTTTATGTAAGAGAACAAACCATAGGGTTTAAGCTACAGGGGTCAGCTCTGTGTGATTTATAGCTGAATGCCATTCCCGACTGAGGCAGGGGTAGTAATCCTGCCCTCTAGGCCACCCCGTCTAGAGACCCTTGGCCTGGGATTCAGGTGGCTGGTGCCAGGTTGGACACTCGGCAGCCTTTTCTGCCACAGACAGCACCTGTGCGGCCTCTTCTTCTGCCAAAACTCCCATTCCTGTTCCTTTGTGAGCCGAGACCTTGACTTTCTCCTCCCCGTGACGGAGCGGAAGGCTGTGAGAGCCAGATGCCCGCTCTATGGTGTTGGCATACTGGCAGCAGCAACCCCAGGGTTGCTTTTCCTCCCCCTCCCGCCAGGCGCTCGGCCACTTTCCCCTGACCCCCAGCTCTCCTGCAGGTGGCTTTGGAGCCCAGGAACGTACTGGTGCAGGGCATGTCCAGGGGGTCCAGGTCCGCTCTGTAGTAGCCATTGCGGCAGACGCAGTTAGTGGCCCCCTCGGAAGTGGTGCGGCTGTTGATGGGGCAGTGCGTGCAGGCCTCATCGCCCTGGTTGGGCTTGAAGGTTCCAGAAGGGCAGCCTGGGAGAGAGGACAGGGAGGGTCACCAGGCAGCTGAAGGAGATGCAGAAAGGCCTTGGAACAGGGAGGCACCATGCCGCCTCAGTGGTCAGGAAACTCCATCCCCTGAAGTTCTGGGCGTCTCCAGGCTTCAGGTGGCGGATCCGGCTCTGCCCCGAAGGCTCCTGGCTACCTCAGTTCCCACACCACTGCTGTCTGGGGTTCTGCTGGGGCGCTTACAGTCTCCCCACCCGCCCCAGCCTGGCTGTGCCACAGCCTCCAGGACCAATCCTGGTCTCACCAGGAGGCAGCTGGAGAGGTCTGAGGCAGGGTCCTGGCCCCGGGCTTGCTCCCCAGTTTGTAACTAGCTTGTAACTGGACTCCTGGCTTTCAACTAAGAGAGGATTTCACTACAGAAGAAAGTCCCAGGGTCACAGAGGGCTGTCTCTGAGGTCACTCAGGGACAGGTTTGAGTCCCTGCTCGGCCTTTTACCCACTGTGTGCTTCTAGATAGTGGCTTAATCACCCTGACTCTAAAGCTCATTTCTGCAGGTGAGCATTTTGCATGAATGTATAAGGCACAGGACACAAACCCTTGTACACTCTAGGTGCTCCAGGAATAGTGGCTAAGACAGTTAAGCCAATTTTTAAAATGAAGGGCTCTGTAGTACCGGACAACCTGAGGGGGGCCATATTTGTATTTGGCCACATGTGACATCCTGGGTTCTCCTGGAGGCTGTGGCCTTCATCCCCATTCTGGGTCCTGATCTGCAGCTCAAGTCACAGGGTTAGGTTCTACTAGAAGCAACTAGCCTGAATGTGCACATGTGTTCAAATCCTCTGCTGGCCCTGGCTGGGCCTCAGGAGATTGAGGCCTAGGTCCTGTCTCTCTCTCAGCCACCTGGAGGTCAGCATCTTAGCTGTGCTATGGTGCCTCTCTGGTGCCGGTGGGTGGGCAGGAGAGGACTTTGGAGCATAAAATCCTCCATGGGATGAAGCGCTGCTAACTCATCCACAGGCCAGCCCTCAGCTGGAGTCATCCTGTCTTTCTTGGTGCCTGGAACTTCACTTGAGTTCAGAGTGCCTCACTCTCCTGCCAATTACTTGTCTAGGGACCTCCTGACCACTCTCTCAGCTCCCCTAAGATGGGCACTGTGTCTGATTCATAGCTGCTAGAACCTGGTATTCAGCAGGTGCCCTGCAAACCCTTCTCGAAGCTGCCTGCTTAACTGGGAAAAGCATGGACTTTGGAGGACACACAGGCAGGGTGGCACGAGCACAGTGGTTAGTGCCCAGGCTACCTGGCAAATCCCAGATTCCTCTGTACCAGCAGAGTGACCTTGGGCAAATCACTTAATCTCTTTCCTCATCTGGAGATGGGATCATAGTATCTACCTCTTAGAGATGAGTACTCCATGGGTTAACTTCTGTGAAAACGCTGAGAACAACGCCTGGTAGTATTATGCAATTACCTGGTTCAAAACAAAGCTGCTGAGTGACCTTGGATGAGTGGTGCAACCTCTCTGAGCAGCAGTGTCCTCACGGGTGAGAGAGCATCTACTGCGTGAGGTGGCTGCGAGGATTATAAGGAACACAGTGCCTAGCTCAGGGTGGAGAGGGAGCTGCAGCTCTGACTCTTGACGGATAAAGCAGGTGCTCAGTAAGGAGCTGAGGGTGACTCCATCTGGAGCCTTAGAGGGCAGCACCCCTCTCGGGCCCTACATCTGCTGCCTCTTGGAGGGAGCTTCCAGAAGCAAAGATGGCAACTAAGTCATCCACAGCTACCTTGACTGATGCCGCTCTGGCTCCACCCCCTGAGAAGGGAGGCAGAAGACAGGACTTTGACATAGGCAAGCAGACCCTAGCAGCGATGTGAAGCAGCCTGTAGGGAGTTATTGAGACCACCACAGTAAAGACGCCTGGGCTCCAGAGAGCAAACATGCACGTGGCCAGTGCTTGCTGGTTACCCCTGAAGCGCCGTCTGTCCTGAGGATTTTGATTGGATCTACTGCTGGAGCCTCAGTGCCCTATGCCGGAAGTCACCTGTCACTCCTGTGTTTAGGCGTGGGCATGAAAGCATAGAGAGGTGGAGTCACTTTCCCAGGACATGGGCTTATGGTGATGGGCTGAGGTTGGCCCCAGGAGGTCTGGTTGCATCTGTGCGCACCGCACCATGCTACACTGCCTCTAAGTGGCTCCTTTGCATCTACCGTGGGGAGCGCTCGGTAAATCCTGCCCCGGGCACCCATCCAGGGCTCTCTCCACTTCGCAGCACTGACTCTGGGGCCCCGGAGTCCTCCCTCACACCTCCCTGCTAGGACCCCCTCTCCCCACTTCCTGCTGCTGGTTGAAGGGGCAGCTGCCACTTGGCACTGCCCGGGGCTCCTAGGGCCATCAACTCTTGCAGGCCACAGCCCTGGTTCTAGTTGACCATCAGCCTCTCTGAGCTTGCCTCCTCCTCTGTGGAGGGGGACACAGGACCCCCGGGAAGGTCTAGAACCATCCCAACTGATGCCAGAGGGTTCTGACCCCAAGATCAGGATGCTCCTGGCTCTGTCTTTGGAGGGCACCAGCCCAGCTCAGTGCCGGCTCCATCTCCTGGCCCACCCCATGCCTGGCTGCTTGTGCCCTCTGCCCCTGGCGCTATGCCAGCTCCTCCATCTGGACCCTCTTCCTGACTGCCTCCCCCCTCAGCATGTCCTGGCCCCCTCTTGGGATCCCCAGGCCACCCCTGCTTAGGCAGTCCCTCACTGGCTCACTGCCTGGCCACCCTGGAGCATCCTGTCATTTCTAGATCTATGGTACTGAGCTCCTAAAACCAGCAGCTAGGAAGTGGCTTCTGTCTCCACCTTATCACCAGGAACAGTACTTCTACCCCATGCCTCCTCTCTCCTCCCACCCCCTGCAGTCAATCAATTACCAGGTCTTCCCTCCTCAGCAGGGTCCCATCCCCAACTCTTCTTGGCCGCCTCCCACCCCTGCGGGCATCTAGAAAGCTCTTCCCACCCACTCCTTAGCCTGGCAAGGCCATCTGTCTGCCTCCGCCCACACTGCAGAGTCTGCTGTCTAAAGTGCAAACCTTTCCTTGCCACTTAAAAATGCATCTTGGTACAGAAGGGAATATTATTTGGCTGCAAAAAGGAACAGGGTACTTGTACACACTCCCACATGGGGGACCTTGAAAATCTTGTGCTAGGTGGAAGAAGCCAGTCACAGAGGTATGATTCCATTTATAGGAAGTAGGTCCGGAAGACACATATCTGAAGGGACAGAAAGTCGATGTGTGTTCGCTTAGGGAAGGGGACCAGAGAGAATGGGGAATGACTACTAATGGGTAGCAGGATTTCTTTGGGGTGACAAAAACATCCTAAAATTGATCGTGGTGGTGCTTGCACCATTCTGTGAATGCATTAAAACCCATTAAATTGTGCACTCTGAACAGGTGAGTGGTGCGGTGTGCAAAGCTGCTATTCAGAGCACCCACACGGCTCCCCATCATGCAGGGAACCTGAACTCTTCAGGGGCGCCGGGGCTCACGGACTGGCAAGCCCATCTCTCCAGCCTCGCCGTGCTGCCCCGCTCCCGTGCTCGGTCCTCTACTCCGCTCACGTGAGCTGTGTGAGGCTGTCGTGTGAGCTGGGGCCTTGGATCCCCTGCACTACCTCTCCTCCCACTACTCCTGGCTTCCTGGAGCTGGGCAGGCCGCCACCCATCCTGCCAACCTCTGGGTCTCAGGTAGAAGTGGGAAAAATTAAGGAGCCTGAAGACAGACCTGGGAAGCTGACCTGACCCATGTGTCGGCCAGCTTGGACAGCTCTCCCCTCGCTCTGAGATTCAGTCTCTCCATGTAGAAAAGGGTCGATGAAACCTACATGGTGCAGGAGACAGGAACTTCCAAACGGGCCCCTGGACCTCACTGCTTCCACGGCCCTGGCCTGTTGCTCACAAGTCAGAGCTGTCCACACCGCTTAAACTCAGAGGTTCCCTCTGCACTCTGAACAAACCCACACACCTGGCACTGCCCAAGGAGCCACGAGGCCACCGGCCTGGAGGGTCACCAGCCCACTGCCTGCCACCCCTGTTGCCCTCACTGAGCTCCAGCTTGTGAGCTGTCAGGTAGTTTCTCACCTCCAGGCCTTCGGCTACACTGCAGCCTCTGCTGGGGCTTTCTCTGCTCTTCCTATGATGGTTTCTCTTCCTCCTTCAGGCCAGCTTAAATGTCACCTCCTCAGAGAGGCTGTCCTGGTGAAAGCGGCTCCTGCCCTGGCCCACACCACACATGGGAACCCTTTGTGCACTGGCCTGGCGTCCTACTCTGCCCTGGCTGTCCCTGGAGGAGAGGAGCATGACGGGGCCGCGCTATTGGTGCCCAGTTCCCGGCAGAGTGGTGGGACCAGGAACTGCTCAGTGTATGTGGGTGGAATGAACCAATATGCCCCTTCCGGGATGCTTCGGGAAGCAGAGGCGACAGTGGATGAGGAGACACTTGGTCAAGGGCATGCCTGTTTTGGTGTCAGCAGCATCCTTTGGGCCTCATCACGCGCCTCTGATGCTCAGGTCCTGCTTTACCTTCATTTGTTCTCCCCAGAGTCTTCCTGGGGTCTCTCCATGAGGGCGACTGAAGCATTCTAGTTCTCAAGCTGGAGTCCTGTGCCTAGAAACTCCCTTTGTCTTTGGCCAGTGGGAGGACTGGACAGACACCTCTCCAACCCCATCTGTGGCCCCTCTCATCTGCTTGTAATTCCCTAGGTACCCCGGCTGTGCCCACCACTCCTGCTGCCCAGCATCTTTCTCTCGGTCTCTCTGACCCAGTAGATTGGCAAATCTTTCCTGTGCCCCTTTAGGCTCCCGCAGAAGCTGGATTGGCCCCAATCCACAGGACACGCTTCGCATGCAGCAGCGCGCTGGCTGGTTAGGAAGGAAAAAGTCTGTTTGGCTGTGTTTGCGTTTCTGTGGTGTACCTACTCCCTCTGGAGCAAACGCCAGGCTACCGACTTGAGATCAAGGGACACAGACCTGGGAAGAAATATGCACTGTTGGTTCCTCCAAGCCCTAGCAGTGCCAACCAGTGTCAGCCACCAATGGGCTCCCATGAGATGGGACATATCTCTGTCCCACTCACTGGTTGGTGAACCTTGGATGGGGCACAGGCTGAGTGTTTAGTCTCACACTTACAGATCTCAACATCTAGTTTAGGATCTGGGACATGGTAGGCACTTGGCCAATTCCATTTGCTCAATAAAAGCAGCTCTGTCTCCCCAGTTCAGCAGTGAGCACCTCAAGGGCAAGGGCAGGGTTCGGATGGGTTGATACACACAAAGCCCTTCGAACGTGTGCTATGTAAATGTTAGCCGTTGTGAGGACATCGGCATGTGAGGACAATAATAATTCTCATTTATTAAGGGCTTTCCAGCTGCCACTCGCAGACCTAAGAGCTTTACATGGCTTTTCTCCCTTAATCAATACCCCTGCCCATTGAAGTACGGACATTATTATTCGCACTTTACAGATAAGGAAACAGTCTCCAGAGGGTAAAGTGATGTCACAGAGCTCTTAATGTCACGGAGCTAGTAAATGGCAGGGCTGAGGTTGGACTTCTGGTCTTTGTGACTCCAAAGACCTCATGCCCAAGTAGTATTGGTCACAGAAATGATGGAGAGGCTGAGTGTCAGGGCTGGACACCACCTTGTCAGGCTGTCTATAGTCGCTTAGCAAGACAGAGGCTGGGCCCAAACCAGGGACCAGCTCCTGCCCGCTACAGTCGCCCCGAGCCCTTGGCCAGACGACGCAAAGTGAGAATGGCAGCAGGCCGGGGCCTGGGAGGGAGGATTACAGGGAAACAGATTTCCTCTCCGCCTGCTCCTGGGCTCCGGGGATAGGTGATAATTGACCAAGTGAGCCCTGAGTCAGGCCGAGGCGGGGCTCCATCTGGGCCTGGCACAGTGGGGCTGCTAATTGGCACTGAGTGACTCTCTGAGCCTCAATGGCTGGCCTGCTGCCGGAGCTCCCCCTCCTCCCACCAGGGACACTGGTTTAATCCCATAGACGGCTGATGCCACCCTGGAGTCACCGCTCAAGTCAGGCCCACTGTGCCAAGTGGTGGGGGCTTAAAAGGAACGTTGCTATCTTCCTGGGCGTCCTGAGACAGGGGGGTCTGTCTCTGACTCTGGGTAGACTGGGCATCTGAACAGGTTTGCTCCCTGCACATGAATTCTACCCCTCACTCCCTGCTTCTGAACAGGAGGGCTGGTGAAGCTGGTGCCGGGCAGAGTGGTGCACACTCCAATCCAGCCCTTGGCAGGCTGGGGCAGGAGAACTGCTTGAGCCTAGGAATTCAAAACCAGCCTGGGCTCAGAAAGGGTAAAGTGACCACAGAACAGGACCCCTCCAAGAAAGGAAGAAAGGAAGGAAAGGAGGGAGGGAGGAAGAAACAGAGGGAAGGAGGAAGGAAGGAAGGAAGAAGGGAAGAAGGGGGGAAGGAAAAAAGGAGGGAAGGAAGGAAGGAGGGAAGGAAGGAAGGAGGGAAGGAGGGAAGGAGGGAAGGAGGGAAGGAGGGAAGGAGGGAAGGAGGGAATGAACTGAACCAGGGCACATGCCGTGAGATGCTGACAGGCTGAATCCCTGTGACCACACTTCTCTGTGCCGTAGTTTCCTGTACAGTGAGAATAACAATAACATTGACTTTATATTTGTTGGAAAGATGAAATGATTTAGTAAAAATGAAGCACTTGGAAGAGTGTCTGCCAGACTTATGTGATACAGTACTTGCTATTATGTAGGTCCAGTACCCCTTATCCAAAATTGTTGAGATCAGAAGTGTTTTGAATTTCAGATTTTGGAACATTTGCATATCTACAATGAAATATTTTAAAGATGAGACCCAAATCTAAACATAAAATTGTTTATATCTCATAAATACCCTATACACATAGCCAGAAAGTAATTCCACACAATATTTTAAATAGCTTCACGCATGAAGGACGCATAAAGATACCTTTATGAAGTCCACAAGTGGAGTCAGATTGATGCTCAAAAGGTGCTGGATTTTGGAGCATTTCAGATTTTAGATTTTGGGGTTAGGGATGATCTGCCTATACTCATTCATGGCTCATGGCTTACTATGTACCAAGCCCTGGCCATACGGGATGAGAGCACACACAGTCCCAGGTCCAGCTGTAGAGACTGTGAATTGTAAATTTATTCAGCGGGCATTCCGAGCCCCTAGTCTATGCCATGCACTGGGACACTGAGTCAAAAGCCTCAGCCCTGGAACACACAAAGCCCCGGAACGAGCAGGGGACCACCCAGGGGATGCCTTCCTTTGGTTAGCCTTGGTCCTGCTGAGGTAGGCAGAGGGGTCACGAGTGGGCTCTGGGGTCCGCAGTGCCCATTCTGCAGTCCTGCCTATTTCCCTGCCCACCCTGGGATTCCCCAGGAAGCAGGCTGTGGACTAAGAAAAGAGTCTTGGACCCAGAATAGGGAAGCCAGGGGCTTGATGATCTTCTGCTCTATGAGCTTGGGCTACTTCCTCCCTGGTGTGGGCTGCAGTTCTACTTGTCAAAGGCAGATGCTGGCTGGGGTCACCTCTACAGCTTCTTCTAGCTGTCAGGCTGTGGCTGTGGACAGGCTTAGCACCTAGCACCGGACCTGCATTCTCTATGTACTATACAGGAGCTGATTTGCACGTTTCCAGGGCCCCGTGCTGCACCTGTGTCCAGACAGGGTTTGTGGTGTCCCCGTAGCTGAGCAGGAGGAGTTTGGGGTCTGGCTTATATAGAATGGCTTTTGTAGTTTGCTTGCTTCCTGCTTTTGACCTGAGGTTAACCCAGCAGCCAGTCCCCCTGGGCAGAGCAGGGCAGGGTGCCTGGCCCTGTTCCATGAACAGAGGGGTGCAGGAAGCTTTGGGGATGGAGAGGAACACTTTCTGTCTATCCCTGAGGGCCCAGGATGCACCTATGCTGGGCCAAGAGCCTCCCAGGTCTGTGACCTCATTAGTCCTCACGGCCACCTTATGTAGCTATTTCCGTTTTAGAGAGGAGAGAAAAGGGAAGAGGAAGTGGCCCTTCCGAAGTCACCCAGAGACGAGGGCCTGTGCCTCCTGGATGAGGGGTGCCCCTCCCCCACTCACTTATGCTTTCACTTCCCAGGGTGGGCCTGCCTAGCCAGGTCAAGTCCGGATGCCTCAGAGTCATTCCCCTGCAGTGGGAGCTCCCCTGGGGACCACCCAGGGGATGTCAATCATCTGCCCCCTCCTGCCCCTCCTTAGTGGAACCCTGCCAGGCACTGGCAGGACCACAGGAGTCAGCAGGCAGTTTGGGAACTGTAGTAACACGCCTCCCCTTTGTCTGAGGGCGGCACCCTGGCCTCTTATGCCCACCATCTGTCCAGTCACTTCTCCGCTCCAGACCCTCCCATGGCTCCCTTGTGCGTACAGACAGCCCAGCCGGCTTAGGCCTCAACCTGGCCGGCTTCAGCTCCCACCGTGCTCCCAGTCATCCCCGGGGCTCCCACCGCAGAAGGTGGCTTGCAGTTTCCGGAACAAACTGCACCTGGTCTCTCTTCAACCTTGGCTCAAGCAGCTCCCTCTGTCTGCATCACTGTCCCAGCTCCTGGCAAACTCCTCATCCTTCAAATCTCAGCACCAGCCTGAACGGCCTTCTGGTCCTCCTAGGAGGCCATTGTCTACCTGGTGGGGCTTGAGGCCTCTTTCCAGAGTTCCTCTGCCATAGCATGATTTACAGGATTGTAACTGTCACCTCCCCTACAGCCGTGAGCATAGTGACAGTATGGCAGTTGTCCACATGGTCTGGTACCTCTGGCCCTAGAAAGGTGGCATCTTGTTCTTAAGGCTGGCCAGCTAGGATGGTGGGTTGAGGATTTTGTTCCAGGCCTTGGATCCCCTGAGCCTTGGGTGAGGGCTCTCAAGGCATCCTGCCTACATCCTTGGCATCTGGTTAACATCTGTCTCCTTCCTCCTCCTTCCCCTGCCCAGGGGTGAGTTTCCTGAGGACAGCCACTGAACCACCCCACTGACTGCCCAGCACAGAGCAGGCACAGCACAGCGCTCCAGAACAGCTCTGATTGGTAAGCGGGAAGCCGATGGGTCCCTCAGCCCCAAGGGCACAGTCAGAGCTTTTGCAACCACTGTGATGGGTTCCTGGATGTGAATACGTGTGAGGATGTGGGGATGGAGGGATGGAGCCCATTCTCTGGGGGAGCCAGATATGGAGCCCCACAACCTACAAAGGAGGTGAAGAGTTTTCATAGCCTGGTCCTTCAAGGCCATGGACCCCAAATCAGGCCCTGGTCCCAGCCCCAGGCCCCAGCCTGCCTCTCTTCAAGACATCCCAGCTCCCCCATGGTAGGGGCCAGAGCTCCCGCCTGCCCAGCAGGCAGCCCCATTCCTCCAATTTCCTCCCAATTAATCAAGCTCTGAACTTTTTAATTATCTGCCTGCAGGGTGACTCCCCACCCTGGTGAAGCAATTAAGGACATTTCCAAGTGCTGTGTGGCTGCTTCAGGCAAGCAGCCTCAGCTGACCAGGCTCTGACGGGGAAGGCCAGCAGAGGAGGGGGCTGGTGACAGGACACCCACACACTGGACTGCTGGGAGGTTATCCTGGGCTTCGGGCTGGAGCTACCATAGGGATCTGGGGCCACACTGTCCAGGGTAACCCACTCATGCTTCTCCCGTGGCTCTTTTTCTGCAATTAGACTCTGACGTCTGTGATCCCAGACGGTTACATGGTGCCAGGCACTGGGCTAGGCGCTTTAATGATGTCACTGTATCTTCACCTTGACCCCGGAAGTAGGGAATATGTCCATTTTACAGGTGAGCAAACAGAGGCTCAACCATCAGGCAACTAGAAGATGCAGCTAGAGTGGGAAGCCCACGCTGACTGTACAGCCACTTCCTTCTACCGTCTCTCAAGTATCAGTGTGTGGCCAGAAAAGTGTCCAGAGGCACAGAGAAGGTGGAGAGATGGTACCCAAGCCAGGGGACTGTGGAAGACCATGGGCCCTTCACGTGCAGGACTGCCAGAGAGACAGGATGCTGAGGCAGAGGGCCCAGCCTGTGCTGAGGCAGAGGGGCATGAAACGGCGCTGTGTGCGTACAGCTACAAATATCACATGGTCTCCGAAGCATGATGTGTAAGGCCAGGAGAGGTAGGAGATGAGGCTGGCAGGGTCTAGGCCCTCAGAAGTTGCAGAAATTCCGCCCTTTTCTGGCCTAAGTCCCTCATTTGATGTCCACAGAATATATGACCTAAACAGAGTCAATGACCTGCCTAAGGCCACATGGCGACTTAGTGGCTCACACAGCCCCCGTTTACCTCTCTGAACTCACACCTCCTGCCCCCCTCTTGTCCACTCACTCACTCCAGCCACACTGACCATCCTGGAACACATGGGAATCCTCTAGCCTAAGGGCCTTTGAACAAACAGCTTTCTTTGTCTGGCCCATGCCTTAGCTCAGCACTTCTTCACGACATCCTCCCCTGTCAGAGGGATAACGCCACACGCCCTCACCTCCTGAGAAAACGGGGAATGCTGGCATGCCCCCCTCCGCCAGCTGGAGACCATGCCTGCAACAGGGTTTGTAAAGGCCAGAGCCTTCGAGCCTATAATCCTCCAGATTCATAGATGCCGGAACAGCGAGTGTTAAATAATAATCACAGTGTGCCTAAGGGGAAGCCGGATGTGTTTGGAAAGCCTGACACATCTGGCAGGGCCAGGCGCAGGTCCCCAGACACATCTGGCTGCTGTATTGACAGGTGATATAGCGGGTCACTGAGATGGGCCCTGGTGGACCCAGTCCGGGTGCCAGGAGGTGTAAGGGGTCTGGTGGAGCTGAGGAGCCTCCCCCATCTCCCCAGGGTGGATCCCTGTTTGGGTCATCACTGACTTTGGTGGCTACATGAGGACCCACAACCTGGGCCGCCAGATTCCTAAGTACCTGCATCACGGCTGGGGTTGGGAGCCTGGGACAGCCCCTGCCTCTCTTCAGCTGGGGGGGGGGCTTTTTCAGGGTCACTGCATGTAGCACTTCCTCTTCCATGGGATCCAGAAATGTGGTCATCAGCCCCACCGGAGGGAACCCCCCCAGGGCTGAGCCTGGCTCCCTCCTGCCTCCCACCTGCCCCAACAAAGCTGTGGTCATTAATAAAGGACACAATTAGCTGTCAGCAGAGAACATGTCTGGAATTTTTTACCTGCTTCATGAGTCGGTTAAGGCAACAAACCCTGGGATCCCCCCGGGGAAGCAGCTGCCACACACCTATTAGGGGGGCCCTGTCACCCTGGCCTGAGGCAGGAGGGGCCTGTGAACTTTTCTGTGTGGGTTCCGCAGGCCCGGGGCTGCGTAGGACAGCATTCTGGGCCGATGGAGAAGGTGACAGAGCCAGAGCGATTCCGAGCAGAAGTTGTTTTTCAAAGCAACAGGCAATCCGAGCAAAAGTTAGTTTGCTCTCCTAGACTTGCATTTTACAGCAGGGAAACTGAGGCCCAGGCTGGGGATGTGACCTTGTTGGTGGCGGAGGGGAATAAATGTGCTTCTCTTTGTGGTTCCTAATGGATCCCCTTGCTCTGTTCCCTTAACACTGTTGGAATTTGTTGCTGACACCTCAGGGAATGTCCCTAAGTTCATAATGACCATTCTGACCTCGGGGACAGGCGGAAGAGGGGGAAGAGGAAGGGAAGGAGGAGGAGGCAGCACGGTCCCTGCCTTCTCGGGGCTGGCAGTCTAGTGAGGGCCGGAGGGAGGAAGTGCCGGACAAAGAGGATAACATGCAGTTGGTGACGGGCCATGAAGGACACAGACAAGGGCTGTGATCGGACCTCAGGGAAATCACGTGAAGGGCTGTGACATTTAAAAGGTGACACTGGGGAGAAGAGCATTTGGCCAGGCAGGAACGATATCACCCAGGTGGCAGAACGTCCATGCTCGGGTCTTCAGCCTGAGAACTGGTGGCTGGGTATTCTCAGTCCTAGCTGTTTACCACCCCAGACAGAAAGAGCGACTGTGCCCCGGGAGGAATCTCCTGTCTGGGTTACCTTGTCCTAATAATGCCATGCCATGGAGATCTATCACCCCCATTCTACAGGAGAGCCTGAGGCTCAAGGACACCTGGCCTAGAAGGCTTAGCCTCCTAACTGCCTCTCTGCCTCTCTGTCTCCCCCGGCCTTGTCTGGGTGCTTTCCTGAACCCCTGCTTCCCCCTAAAAGGTGGGTCTGGAGAGCCCCAGTGCTGGGATTGAATACTAATGAAAATCCTACTCAAGACATCCTGGCATTTGGCACCTCAGGGAGAAGGGATTAGGAAACAAAAACAGGATCGGGGGACTCTCCCACATTTATACCGAGGCTCCCCAATTGGGGGGCCTGGAATCATTCTCCCTGCTAGGGGTACAAAAACCTTCCTCCTCCTCTGGTTGGCTTCTGGGGAGCCGGAATAGGCCTCAGCTAACCCAAGCCATAAATCAAATGCACAAGATGTGGCTTGGCAGCCGTCCCAGGGAAAAAGATCTGGGGGTTTGAATTGACCACAAGCCAGAAGCTGCTGAAAAACCCAATGTGGTCGTAAGCTGTAAGAGTAGAGGCAGAAGGACAGCCCAGCGGCCCCCGGCTCAGGGGGGCTCACTTTGGCTCCCCGTTTTAAGGAGGTCCACTGAGTGAGTGACAGTGGACAGGACATTTCAGGTTTCCATCTGCAGCAACCTCTGGGGGTTCTAGGGGTGCCGAGGGTGTGGTTCCAGTAATGAATGCACCTAGCAGCACCTGATAGCACATGGCGGGGTTCTGGGGTACCCCCTGCCCCGAGCATTCTCCCCTTTGGATCCCTGAGAAGCAGGAGCTGTCTCCCTAATTTCATGAAGCTCCAGCCTCCAGGTCTGAGCCTCTTGGAGCCTGGAGGCTTGGGATCCCGTGTGTGGTTTATCTAGGGCCTGCCCTGGATTTCAATAGACTTTTAAAAAAGTGGTGGCACATGCCTATAATCCCAGCTACTCGGGAGGCTGAGGCAAGAGGATGGCAAATTTGAGGCCAACTTGGGCAACTCAGTGAAAACCTGTCCTAGAATAAGATTAAAAAAGAAAAGGGAAAAAAAGAGGGCTGGGGGTATAGCTCAGCGGTACAGCACTTGCTCAGTACATGGGAGGCTCTGGATTCAGTATCTAGCTCTGCAAAAAACTGAACCAAACCAAAAAAATCTCAGCAAGTTTTTTTCTAAATGGTTACTTTGTGCCCAGTTCTGTGTTAGGCACTAGGCACAGAGCCAAAGAAGATACAGCCCCTGGCCTTGAGGCTCACTACGGAGCAGGGGAGAGTGAATATGATCTGCTGGGGATATCAAAGAAGGTTCTTCAGAGAAGGGGCCATTTGGGTAGGGTATTAAAGGATGAGCAGGAGTCTGTCAAAGGCTTCCAGCTGGGGGAGAAGATGTGAGGGGGAGGCGCTGGAGGAGAGGTTCTCAGCACTGCTGTTTCCTGGAGGTGACATCACTTGGGAGACAAATGAAAAGGGGAGGCACAAGAGTGACAGGAAGGTGTGCCAGGCAAAGGAGTAGCCTGGGCCAAGGTGGGGGTTGGGGAACTGCATGGCAGGCAGGGACCTGCAGCTGGAGTCTCTGGACCCTGAGTCTCTGGGTGCTGGACAAAAGCCAGGAGGCAGACAGGCAGACAGGTGATAGCAGCAAGCCACTGCTGGGCCCTAGAGAGGCCTTCATGGCCAGTGCCCGCACATGCAGCAGCGCTGTCCCCCTCCCAGCTGTGTGACAGCCCTGAACCCAGAAAGCCAGGAAGAGGCCTATCCGGTCCCTGCCCTGGGACATCCGTAAAGTCCCATGTGGCAGATCACAGACCTGGGCATCACCGGTACTTCTGCCGGGGTCTCTTAGGGTCCAACCGATCCCAAACATTTCCAGAGACAAAATCCCTTCTTTAAAAAGTGACTTTAAAATACTCTCAACCCCAAAGCTTACAAGGATCCCACACCTTCTCAGTTTTAAAGGGTCAAAAGTTGAAATTTACGAGTCAGCAGCAAGACTCCCAGCACCAGTGATCTTTGGCCAACAGCTGGGAGACTTTACTACAAATCTCCCAGATGCGACTATTTAGAACAATCACCTTTAAAAGGAGTCTCGACTGGGTTTCCCCTAAAAGTCTCCTTTATTTGAAGAGCGTGTTTATGGGGTCCCGAGGCTGCTGTTCTCAGCCCATGCTATGGCTTTATAAAAGAGGAGGAAACCAAGAGAGGACAGAGGCAGACAGTAAAGCAGAGGACGATGACAAACCTCTAATCTCATAAACCTTTCTCTTATCTCAGGCCTTAGAAAAGTGGGGAGGCCTGGTTGTTTCTAAAAGCAGCTCTGAAAGCTCATAAACGTGACAAGCACTCAGCTCCAGCACCCACAGAGAGGGACTCTAATCCTTGAGAAAACTACAGATGGGGAGGGGAGAGGTGACTTCTGCCGAAGGGCAGCCTGCAGAGAGAGCCCGTGCTGTCACCAAGTGAGGCCGGGGACAAAAACTTCTGTGCTGCCTTTCTCTGACCTCACGGCAGCGCTGTTTGGGAAGAGTCTCTC